AGCCTTTCGATGCTCGTGGGAAGTGGCCAAAAGCTTCCATACATTCATTTCCACCTTGGTCTTTTGCAGTTGTTTGACCACATCGCTATTCACAGGGTCGATGGGATCAACTATCAGATGTGATTGTGGTGGAGGTGGAGGTGGGTTAGGTTGTTGCAACCGTCCACTTCTGGTGAGAACCTTGACCTCGAGGTCCCCCCAAACATCTTCACTGGTGCCGAGAGATGAACAGGCTATGTCTTTGAGATAGACGTCTTCATCATCACTATCCCAGATCCCATTCACTTCTTCAGTGCTTGAGATAAATACAACTTCTAGCAGAGGTTCATTCACAGATTGAATGAGTATCGACGGATCAAAGGAGACTTCATCTCCCATGATAGCCAGAGCATCAGAAAGAAGACCTGTTTGAATGTTAGGCTTCTTTCCCCCTAGAGGGACAGGAAGTTGGTTATCATCAATCAGGTCTTGGATTGCGTCTTTCAACGTCCCAACACTTCTAAGTGTTATGACCCTTGCCTTGGTGATACTTGCAATAAGTGTTGGGGTCATAGTTAGCGGTCCTATTCTCAAGTCGAGGTTCTGGAAATGGTCCGATTGGCATAATCAGTCCCTGACCATGAAAAAGGTCATAAGCAGCATCATAAGTCATTCCCAAAGGCGTATAAACCCTCCTTTGCCTTTGGAATCTTTGAGGAGGAGCATTAAGGGCCAGCACATCATTGATGTTGATATTGTTGGTAGCATTATTGGGCTTAGAAGACGAAGAAGAAGGAGTGTCGTTCTTCTTGTTTTTCCAAGTACTGCTGTTATTGTTGCTACCAACAGACTTCATCAGTTCGTCTTCGATATTGATTCCAATATCGTATACAACATCAAAGGTACTTAAGGGCAGAAAATTTAGGTGTTGCTTGTACTTATGAGTCAGGTTGGCAATGAACAAGCGAACCATTTCCTTCTCCTTGGGAGGATCCACCAAGAGCGCAACTGTTTCTCTCCATCTGCTTAGGTAAGTGGTGAAGCCTTCATTCTCTTTCTGTTTGAGAATGGAGAGTTCACGTTCAAAATTCTTGGCCTGGATGTTACACTTGTACCAATTCATAAAGCTTTCAGTAACATCCTCCCAGGTCGCGACATGCTTGGATTCCAGATAATAGAACCACTGTTGACAGGCATGTTCTAAGGAAAGAGGAAACACCGTAGGGAAGAGTGTCACATCTACTCCCTTAAGAGCCATAGTTGCAGAAAAAGCCTTCAAATGGAAAAGTGGATTATCAGTAGGCTTGAACTTGGGAATATCAGCAGTGGAAAACTTCTCAGGAAGCTTCTCTCTTATAGACGAGGAGGTGATAGGCTGTTCCACATAAGTGAACTCTTCGGAAATCTTGCTCATTTGTTCCTTGATCTTGTCCATCGCAGCAATAGTGACACTGTTTTGCTTGTCTTTCTCTACAGTGCTGACTCTAGTAGTAAGTATCTGCATCATGTCAGACAATCTTTCGATTGTCCTGTTGAGGTTCTCGATGTCTTCCTTAGTGGCCATTGGTTGAAAGTAGACTGGAGACGGATCTTGTGGAGATGATTGAGGTGGTTTCCTTGTACGCCTCTTTGGTATAAGAGGTTGTTGGGGTATGGACTCAAACCGTAACAATCTACCCTTGCTTCTTGCCCAAGTGCTGTGACACCGAAACAAACACACCTTTAATGACCAAACTTGACCTTAACCTATCTGGATTAAAAAAAGAAATTTTTTTTTATTGAAGCTCTACTTATTAAAAAAAGAAAACATGGGAGGATACCATCCGACTTACTCCGAAAAAAAAAACGACACAAAAAACGAAACTTCCCTAAAATACGGTCAAAAGTGGTGCATGACTAAAAAAGTGTGTGGACATAATATGTGAGTGATTAGGTGAGGTTATAGACGCGTGTTTTGACCGTATAGCTAGACACGACTCAATACTGGACACAAAAATCGAGAAAAAAGACTGACGAGACACATTCCTGGGCACCAAGTCACGGTGCAGACTGTCGTGACACGGTGCAGTCTACCGTCAGACGGTAGATATTCCTGTGTCACGGCACTGTTGACCGTGACACGGCAGAACATGCCGTGACACGGTGCGCAGTTCCATGTCTGTTTTTGTGATTTTTCATATTTTAATCGATTTTAAGTCCGTACTAATTACTATGTGAGAATAAAAACCCTCGGTCATGGGTTAAACAAAAAGAGCAAACGTATGAGGGTTAGCACCAAAACAACACATAGCATTTAGGCACGATGATGTAAAAAAGTTCGCAACCTAAAGTCAAGATCTATGTTCAACTATTGGTCAAGCTTTGTGTGTCAAAAGGATACCATGGTTAAGAGTTTGGACGCGTTAGCAAGGCAGCCTCCCTTGAGGGTGTATGCCAACGGGCGGCTCCGCGAGTTCGTGATGAAATCGAACTCGACTCCATGGTTTGGGTGGATTTAATGACTCGGATGAACCCTTATTGCCATGAGCATTTTTGGGTCGATAGAGCTTAAATCCCCCAGGGCTAAGACGCATGTAGAACACATACGTTTTTTCAGAAAAATCGAAGGAAGTCGACTGTGAGAAAAGAAAATAAGCCACCTGTCAGATTTTAGGACTGTCGTGACACGGCAGACTCTGCCGTGACACGGCAGTCAGAAAATCTAACTGGTGCCCTGTTTGCTTTTGCGCGCAACCAAGTTATCCAATTTTTCCTATGGGACATACCTGAATACGACGTTGAAACGTCTATGCAGATGCAAAAATGCCAAATTAATCACAGGAATATTTTTTCAAGAATCTTTCAAGTCTCATCCACTCATCTTAATTAAATACCAATCACTCAAATCGATAAATAATTAAGAATCCTCCCCAGTGGAGTCGCCAAATTGTAGGCGTCGTTCGAAGTGCGCCTACGTTAAAAGCATGTGGTGAATATGCTTGGCACTCATAGGAAGCGGGAATTGACATATACGGTAAGGGACACGATTAGGGATAAGGAAAGTAGGGAGCCGCCAACAAGTTTTTAAGGAACTTGTAAACCGTTCACGGATCATAAAAAGGCAACCACGATAAGGGACAACGAAGGGAACAACGATTGACCCGTGAAGGTTACACCCCATTCATAATCCATGAGATTACTAACTCCATATGGTTTGGAACCACGAAAGGAGGATCGGGGATGATGGTACGAAGTGAGTCATGGAGTCACATTTGCCCATATTGGCCTCTACTCGATTCTTATATTGAAAAGCATTCATGTGATCTCAAAGGCATACAAACAATAATTCAATTCGCTCCAAACTATTATTTAACTAAATTGGTTCAAAATTAATGCACACATAATTCTAAAAATTTGGTGATCACTTCAATTAATGATAAGATTAAAAGGATCCTAAACCGGTTGTCCAAATTATCTTATTAGGCGTGACTTTCAATTACATATTCCCTTTAAACATGCAATATGGTGATCAAAATAAATAATAGAATCAACATTAATACCAATTTAATCACAATCCCAACAACGTAAAATTGTTAGAAAAATAATAATAATAATAATAAAAGAGCATGATCCTTACTTTGAATCTGTTTGTTTGCAACTACAAAATAATAAACGAGTTAGTAACTTCAAGGAAATAATAAAACAATAACTAAATTAAATTAAATAAACTAAGGTTGATTTTGGGGCCAAACCCTCAAACGATTCTACCTTTCACGCCTTGGCTTAAGGACAGAAACTCGAGTGAAATATGGACTCCTTTGAGTGCTTGAAGAAGGAATTTTGAAGTGAAAAGGGTAGGCTAGTGTTTAGGTTAATAGCATAGAAGAGAGAAAATAAGAATCATAAAAATCCTGACTGCCACGTACATCAGAAATGAGGGGGTATTTATAGGGAAATGTGCTGAGGGAGCACACGGAACCCTAAAATGATAAAAGCCCTAAAAAAGTATCCCGTGACACGGTCAGACTGTACCGTCAAACGGTACACTTTCCCGTGACACGGTCAGTTTTGGAGTGACGCGGGAAATTTTCAGAAAACGGAATGAAAAACGCGTTAAGGGTTTACGCGGAAAGGACACGGAACATCCCGTGTCACGGCAGACCTCCCGTGTCACGGGAAGTCCCACCGTCAGACGGGAAGGGTTCCCGTGACACGGTCAGGCTGTACCGTGACACGGTCAGTTCCAGTCCATTTTTCCGTCTAAATTCATTTTTAACCCTAATTTCTTTCGGCTTTTTAAGTGCCGATTGATAATTTCGGGCTTTTTTCTGACTTTTATTATTCGGGCTAAAATAAGAAAAAAATAATAAAATAAAAATAAATAAAATGTTTGGGCCAAAAATAAATAATAAAATAATAAAATAATAAGGTTTGGGCTTAAAATTAATTAATAAGCTTGGGCTAAAATTAAAACTATGCTTTTACCAAACATCAAAACTAATCCATGGACCTTTCAAAAGTATAAATTTAATAAAATACGATTTTTTAAGCACTCTCGGGATTAAATACTAAACCCGACCAATAGTGGCGGTGAAAGGTTATTTATCATCGGGTTTGGTTTTGGGGAGACATTTTTAGGTGTCTACACTTATCGTCAAGGCTATCCTTTTGTCTTTAAATTAATGCTTGGTCCTGTCTAGGTGCTACAACCTAAGTATCTTTGGTTTGAAGGCTAGTCTATATTATGTTGCTTTAGAATATTCAAATCTAAATAAGCTTTTGTTAGGAGCATTTATGGATGGTTGTGTCTGTTTAATTTTATGTACTGGAATTCGTAGCTTTGTTGAATGTGTTAATGCGGTTAGTATTATCTTTTTAACAAAGCTCATGTGATTTATCTGTATTAGTGGTTTCTATCTCACTGCTAACTTAATGTGAATTTTTATAAGATGATTATGCTCTGTACTTTGTTGACTAACTTCCATAAGTTCAAGGAATTTTTATAAAAATAGCATAGAAATAAATTTCATAAAAGCAGGACATATAAATACCATAATTTTATAGATAGAATTTAACATGCACATTAATGTAGCGTTACATTAGGCAATGATCTTAGTACGGTGTTTGTCAGGAACACTAATCATTGTTAGTGTTCCTGGGAAACCCTCAAAAGATTATCTTCTACAACATCTTACTCCTATATACATGAAACTAAGAAATTAAACTGGAGATTTAGTACTACATGATGCTGGATTCTTATATAAAATACGTAGGCAACTATCTATTATGCTTTGCATTTTGAGTTGTTCTGTGATTCCAGCAATTGCAAAGTTCTTATAGTTGCCTATATATTTTTAGTCTAGCAAAATATTTAGAATTTAAAAGATGTTTGGATAGTGCACCTTAAATAGCTGATGTGAAACATTTCATTAGATTACTATATATTTTTTTGCATTTCAGGGACTGATCATATTCGGTGGCAGATTGGATGAAAGATTATTTCAGTTTCTCGGTCTTCACAATTACAGGTTTGGCCTGCTTCTGCCCAGTTCCCAATGGTGTTTGGACATCTTCTGCATGATCCTTTTGTGGAGAAATCTCTGGGACTTGGCATGTGAAGTGCTTCTTTGGGGTCATTCCGCCAAAGCAAAGTTTTTTCTTTGCACGGATTTGTTATAGTGGCTGCTCGGACTCATTTTCTTTATCCCCCAATTCTGTAGGGCTTTTCTCTAAAGTTTTCTTGCGCTTAAATGATTCAACATCTTGCTGAGGTAACTCAAGTGTTTCAGTGCAAGGGTCTTCCTGTGTTTGCATTTGGGAAGAAGTTTTGATGTTTGGGGTTGGAATGACTGGTTCAGGATTTCCTAATCCCACAGTCTGCTGCGCATCCTTTTCATTTCCATCTTTTCCTTGGTTGGAGCTGCTATCAAATGGTTGCAACGCTTCTCGTGTGTTAGGATCTTCCTTAGGTTCAATGCTCTTGAGAGTCCCCTCTAGGATATAGTTCTGTCCTAAATGCAATGTCAGGCCTACTTTAATGTAGAACGGCATGCTGCTGAGCATGTCTTGAATAACCTTGAAAGCGTCATGGTTATCCTATATTGAATTGATAACTTTGTTAGAGTCATGCCGATAATATGGCAACATTAACACAATAGAGTAACGCATTAACAGTTTAATACATGAACACATTAAGACATGAACATATTAACACATTAAGACAATAGATTAACACATCTTGCAAAGGTGACTAAAGTATCATTAACACATTAACTCAATAGAGGTGGGACTGATTAGTAGCATTATTCTTCATTTTATGCTTTGCTTGATTTATTTGCTCCTTTTTTCTTTATATATTTTTGTAAATGGTATTGATTAGCAACATTACCCTAGAGTTTGTGATTTATTAAGGACATGCATTTTTACTCTGCATTTGTGCAAAAGTTTCTTTTTTTTGTGTTCTAATTCACTGAAATATAACATATATACTGCTTTATATGTTCATCTTTACTGGACTTTTTGACATACTATTGTTGATTATTCATTGAAAAAGCTATATGAGCTGGCAGGTCACAAACTTAAGACAAACACATTAATTTGGTTGAATTTGGAACTATAAGCAGAACATAGATGAAATAAACAATTCAAAAATTTTTGGATAGCATAATTTTGTGGTGCACATGAAGAGCTAGCTGGTTTAATGGAAGGATACAAGAAGCAAAAATAAGTGGAGTTGATCAACTTATTCTAGTATAATTTTTTTTTTGTTTTTTTTTTTGTGGGGGGGGGGGGGGGGGGGGGGGGAGAATCTTTTTAGTATAGTTACCTGAACCAAGAGTTTTAAGACTATAATGATTTAAACACCTAGGCAAAACTCTATATAATTTCTGAAGTATAAGCTGCTCTAAAATTAGGGTCCTTTAATTTGTATAGTATGAGCTGCTTATGCATCCTCATTAAATGACCCTTATTTTCCATTTTGATATCCATAATAGTCATTGTCTTCAAAAGTAGTAGATGTGAGCAGATTCAACTTGAGAGAGATTAAATCTAACTTGAGTAATCTCAAGCTCAACTATATTGTTGCTTGTAATAAAAATGCATCAACTAGAACTTTCATGTATTCTTACATAGTTTACAAAGTATTCATAAACTATTCTAAAAATTAGAATGTTAGTATATAGTAATTGTAACTTACTGCTTCTTTTATGGCATAGATTTCAGCTGCGCTACACCTGAACAATCTTTCTGTGTCATCATTGAATGTGGTGAATGCCATAGTACCTGTGTCATCACTTGCCTCAAATTTAAAAGTAATCCTGGCAGAAAGGTGTGATGATTTTTGTTAGCTACAGTCTTAACAAATAGGTATGGTTTTAAAAATGAGATGGAGTTATACCTCTTAGTGGAAATGCATTCTTTCTTTGAACAAGAAGAGCAAGAATAGCGCTTATGCAATGGAAGATTGGTGCGTTTCCAGCAGTTCGAACAACCTGTATATGCCTTCACTTTTTCTAATTCTGCATACTGAATGGTTACTTCTATCCATAGAAGTTCATCCTGTAAACTTGAATAATTTGAACAAATGTTATTCAATGAAAGTTAAACATACTTAAAGGATAGCTACTCAAAGTAGCCTATCAAAATAGCATAATTATTCAAAGCTACTTAAAGTAGCATACTTAAAATATGTTTTGACTATCTTGTAAGATAAAACTAAATAGCTTAAAATTAATCATGATTATAGTATAAGTAAGAGCATGATTATAGCATAAACAGATTATTATAAGAATAATTAAACTAATGTAATCAGATTTAAGATGCTTTATACTATTTGTATGTGTAGTTAATGTACAGGTTACCATAGTGCTTGACATAGGTTAGACTATAGTTATGTATATTATTTTAGTTCCATCATAAATGTAATAGAGCTAACATGATCTTCACATATATAAAGTAATAAATGTATACCTTTTCATCCTTTAGCAGTAAAGTTTGGAATCTAACTGTTTTTTTCGAAGATAGTGTGTCCCTTCCCTTTTCAGCAACAACTACCCTTACTATATAAGATTTGCTTGCTGCATTTAACTGATTCAAGTACATATACTCTGGTTTCTGCCTAGCTGCTTTGTATTTTTTGACCTGTGTATAGAAACCTTTCTATATTATTTTGTATAGTAGGAGTGCTACATTGATAATATCAAACATTACAATAATAAATATCTATTTAATCTTAAGTAAACAAGCAGATAATATGGAATTTTTGAAGCAAAAACATTAAGAATAAGTATAGTAAAGGATTATGCAAGTAATCTGTAAAAACAGAAACCATACCTGCCATGGTTAACTAAGTTAGTGCTCCATGGTTTGATTCTTCTGTGAAAAAATCGAAATTCTAAGGAGCAAATGTTTTTATATAAGTTAAGACAGAATTTAAGAATAGAAAATAGAAGTTAGAAATTGGGAAAGGGTTTGGTAACAGTAGTCAGAATTACCAATGGTAATTTTTTCAACCTTCTTACTGTTTCTATTGTTCAACCATACCTCTGGTAAAGAATTCTAGCTGCCCACTGTACTTTTATATTCATTTTTAAACCTTGGAAAAGTTTATTTTCTTTATTTAAAATAGAATAATAGTAACTTTCTTTTTGTAAAAGATCTGAATTCATGACAGCCACACTTTAGTAAAATATTGTAGTACAATCTTCCTTTTTTAAGGGAATGGCTTCTACAATCTGTCAAAATCATATCAGACCTAAAACTGATAGCATTAGTCTATGTAATATATATATATAGAAATTCGAAATCTTTATTTTGCTTGAAAACAGATTGTGTACATTTGACCTTAATGGGCTGCCATGTAAGCTTATAGGCTTTTAAAACCCACAAGAACAAAAAAATTTGGGCTTTTAAATGTGCATTTTATAGCAATCCTAATTTATGGCAAAGAATGACAAATATTCAATTCTATTTTTCCCTTAACACAAGTTTCTTGCATAGTAAATAAAGCTAAGTATTAATCTAAAAACATTTTCAGTCAAAGGCTTAATTAGCTCATCAGATGAGTTAACTGAACTCCTCTTACCCATTACTCTGAAATTCTTAATCTGTCATGAGATTGAGCACTGTGAGGCTGAATATTTGACATTTGCTAGGCTTCTAAGTTTGTTGGTGAAGTTGGTTTACAAAAGAAGTGTCATTAAGGGCTGGAAGGGTGGGCTTAAAGAGAGGAAGTTTTTTTTTATTGAGGTTGATGGTTTGGGGTTGTGGTATTCAAGGACTCCGCAACAGTAGAATTGTCAAAGGTCGGTGCCGCTTCTTGTAACATAAGGCCGAGCCATCATAAGGAAGGTAGCACCAGGGTAATGAGGCTAAAGAAGAGATCATCATTAAGTGCAGCATTAATCAGCCTTAGGAGATAAGTTTTGCCAGGTTTTACAGCCAATTTGAAGGTTTCTGCAGATAAACTTTTGTGATTATTCACAGTTTATATATTCAGTTGAGTTATTTAAGACAATGTTAAATTTTCCTTGCATATACCTTTAGCTGAGCCAATGTATAATAGTCCTAGGAAGGCCATTGATGGTGTAGGCATCTGATACATTTGGACCGCCTCTTGTTTTTATTGCTTGGTTAATGACTGCCTCAGTGCCTGCATTCCACCATTCTCCTGCAAGTCCTATGATACTATCATTAGAGAACTAAAGAGATATTAAAATTATCATTAGGGAGGGAAAGAGATATTAAAATGAGAGGCTCAAAGAGGAAATTTAAAATATTATGTACTGTACATGCAAAGGACATAGTTCAGTGGCATAAGGATCATGGAATGTGTAATTTTGCAACCATAAAGGAAGAATTTGGACCTGATCACGACTTTCAGCATAAGCTACACACTTCTCAGTGTATCTTCTATTAGTCAAGCTTAACATAATTTCATTCATGGACCATTCTTTATCCTTCTTATTTTTCAGATAGTCAATCCACTTGTCAGAAATATGCATTATTAGGTGATAGGGTTTCTTGTAGTTGGAACCATCCCACGCATTGAAGACCCTGATAAGTTGAGCCGCCTTAGATTAATGAGAAAAGTTACGATATTTTAGAGATTTAGAAAAATCAGAAATCTCAGCTCAAACAAATTAAAGTCTTTTAGACTTGCAACAAACTTACCGAGCAGCAACAGCCCATTCACGATACACAATGTTCCCTTCTTCATGATTGAAACCAAATTTCAAGTATCCTATAAAATAAACATAATTAATATGAATGTATAACTAATATTCCTACATGCCAAGCTACATGGTGACAAAAGGTGGCATCATAGATAGGCTATAGGCAAGAACCATACATTTTTCACTTAATACAGCATAGAGACATAATTTACAATTGATGCATTACTGGATACTTCAACCTAACTAAAAGATTATTGTTTAAGTGTAAACATTTTAGCGGGATTTTGGTGCAGATAAGAATATCACCTTGAGAAAATTGCTCGAGACCAGCTTCGTAATTTTCATTGAGCTGATTTTGATCCACGTATCTCTTCAGTCTGTATTCAAAATGATCTATGTAGGGTTCCAAGGAAAGATCCACATCCAAGATTCCCAGATTCTCTGTCTCTACTTCAGCATTTTCCATTGCTTGACTGCTTTCAGTCGCACTTGCTGAGATTGCAGGACAATACTTCATCTGTCAAAGAAAATGGGCATTTTTAAGCTACTGCATCTAGGATTCTAGACAAATTTCCAGTACTGTGAGGGTTTACAGGAAATACTGGACATCAATATATACAATTAAATTTTCAGCAATACTCAGTTATTGCAAGATGTTGATGAGCACTTCAACATTGGAGATTAAAATCTGATGAAAATTATTTCATAACTTTTTAACCATTGAATATACAGATGATTACTTTAATCATCATAAAAACTCATGGAAACCAAAAAAAAAGTTACATTTTAGTAATGAAAACACACACGATGCAGTTCAATGCTGATGTCATAAAGCCATTTGAATCAATTTCTCCTCATTCCCGAATAAGATAACATTTTAATACCGCCCATCATCTGTCTACTACAAGTCTACAATTAAAGAAAATTGGAAGTATGACTACTTATTGCTTAGAACTTGCAGTTTGTAAGAGCATTGATTAAAAGATCATCCCTGGCAATGCATCAAGCTTATGATGCAAGAATTATTCATAATATGAGAGGATGAAGACTCAAGTTTAGCTTACAGAACACACTAGTTGAGATCATAACTACTTTTGTGCCCGTGACATGTAAATATATGCACCACATCAGAATAAAGAATTGAAAGTGAAATGAAGAATCTGCTGAAAAATAAAAACCATATAGAATAAATAAATGTCATATTTGAGGAAAGCAATGTGAAAAAACCCCCACAAAAAAATAGTTATAACTTTATGCATGACCTAGTATAGAAACCTCAAATCAAATTAGCTTTCTCTTCAAAATTTTTGCCCTGCAATGCAAAAATGATAAGCTATTTATTGACGGTCATTTAAGTTTTAAACCTGTTGATTAACCTGAACAAAAGTTAAACATAGAATAAATTAGCTTACCGAGCTTAGTTAGTGCATAGCTGCCTAGATTACTCCTGCTATCTTTAGGACCGCATAAGATACAACATTTTTAACAGAGTTCTCTGAATGCTGTAAAGTAGGAGCTACCGATATAACTTTCACTTTATATGCAGATCGTGCACGTGAAAGCGCCACATATAGCTGTCCATGTGAAAAACATGAGCGAGGGAGATAGATTAACGCTTGATCTAAAGTTTGTCCCTGTGACTTGTTAATAGTCATTGCAAAGCTCAACTTGATAGGAAATTGGCTCCTCTGAAATTGGAAAGGATATTTCTGAGAGCTCGATGGCTGAGTTTAATTCTAGGTATGAAAACATGTTCTCCTTGATACTGCCCGACCGACATCACACACTCAATTAAATTAGGGATAAACCTTTTACATTAGAAGACGTGTTCCATTGCATAAACCAGAAGAGGGAAGGAGGTTTCTAAGTAATATTACAGGCAATTTTCTTTGAGCATAAGATTGTGAGGACTCATTCCCCTGGACATAGTTTATTTAGGAATTCCGTAGGATATACACTGCCACTATCATCTAGAATAGTGTCATAGCTTGTGTAAGAGATGGCTTGTCCTGGGAATCTCTCGATCATGAAAGAATTTATAGTATCAACGTCGTCGTTTATAGGTGTTAGAACAGCCCTTCTTGAAAAGATCTGAGGATCTAGAGCACCTGAACCAAGTTCTGGAAAAGAAGACTGAAGTAACTCTTGTATTGGATCAGCATCAGGCTGGAAAGTTTGCACTATCTGTGGAGGCAACTGAACAAAATCATTTTCCATGGTTTGCAATTCACCGTTTCCTAGTGAAAGCAAAAACTGACAGAATGAAGGATCCTCCTTGGCTCTAAGATTTTCAGTTAATCTGAATCTTCTCAAATGCTGCCATATATAACTACTCACTACACTTGCTTCGACTACTTCTCTCTGAGTCTTGTTAGGAACAACATGCAACACTTGTCGGAAATCTCCACCAAAGACAATTACTTTCCCACCAAATATAATATCACTATCGCATATGTCTTGCAATAAAAGGTCAAGAGGTTCTAGATTTTGCTTGTTTGCCATTGATGCTTCATCCCAGATTATAAGAGATGTTTCCTTTATTAATGCTGCTAAGCTACTTTGCTTAGAAACACTGCACGCTAATGAAGCATCACTATCCATTGGAATCTTGAATCTTGAGTATGCTGTTCTAACCTGACGGAATATTTTCCGCGGCTATTCCAGATGTAGCAGTAGGTAAAACTATCTTATTCATGAGGCGAATCTCAACATATAATGCATTATATAAGAACGTTTTGCCGGTTCCACCAGGACCATCTACAAAAAACGCCCCTGGTCTTCCTTCCACTATATGCTGCCTAATACAAGTAAAACTTTCCTTTTTGTGCGGTATTTAGCAAGCCATGGCTCTCGATACAAGCCTGAGGAATCGGAGCATCTAAGGCATCTTGAATGTCTTTTGTTCTATCAATCTGGTTATCATTGTCATCCACTAAAACAGCAAACCACAGGCAGATA